GGAGTCCCCCTCCCCCACAACAACGGGGGAGGGAGCGTGAGGCCCGCCTGTTAAACGGCGGGCCGGTGCGGGGGGCGCCCAGAAGTTATAGCTCTGCTACATCCTGGGCGTTCCCCAAGTAAAGCACCGCGCAGGTCACCGTGTGGTTTTAGTGCGGTAAGCCCAGCCGCCGCAACGTCTAGCGGCGGCACCCCGATCGTCATTAGGGGGGCAGTCCCACATAACCCGGGCCATTTGTAAACTCCCTTCCCAGAGGGGGGCCCGGGTATCCATAAAGGATTTCCACACGTAAAAAAAAAAAGATGCAGGCCTCCTCCCCCCCGCTCGCACATTCACGCGAAAGAGATCGGGGACCCCCAGCTGAGCCCTCAACCCCCTTCTCGCGTGAAACGTATCGGACACTTGGCGCGATCTGTCTCTAGATCGCGGTGCCCTTTATAACCTTTCCGGGTTAACGGACGTTGCATCGAGGTCATTTATAGTTTCACGCGACGAAACGCAATCTCGGTGCACCGACAAGCGCGGTATATAACGATCCGCGGCCGCTTCCGCTCGCGCGCGCTCCACTTTGACTCGCTTTTTTATTTACCTTCGTTTTATTTTTTTACAGGGATTTAATATTTCAAGTATGTGTCTAATACATAAGTTGTGAATAATGCTTCGTTAACGGTGTGAATGAATAAAATAATAATAAAATAATACAGTGATAATACAGTATAACAATAAATACATTAATAAAATAATAAATTGGGCACAGCAGCAATATATCTTTCGTTTCTTACATTCATGTGAACACAAATTTTATCAATATTTGTCGTTGCGACTGTGCATAAGTCTGTGTCAATATCTATAATCTTACATAAATAGTTACTTTCATAACATGATATCACATTTATGGTATTATATATTGTAAGCGCAATGTTGGATTCGATATCAAGAATAAACGAATGAATTTTTATATACTTTCCATCGACTAACTGAGCATAAGAGTTATTTGAGCGATTATTCTGTAATAAGCTTGATGTATAGAGACAACCACATTTCACCATTCGATTATAACTTTTAGAATATACTGAAACATTAAATTTCACTGCTATATCATATTCTATAGCATTGCCTGAGCCAAAATACGTAATGTTTTCACTCTTAATACATTGTTTCACTCGCGTAGTGATAAGATCTTCACAAAAGCTTTTTGTTGCTTCGGAAATGCTGTACTGAATTCTACGTTCTACAATTGATATGCTACATTGAAGATTAGCATATCTGATAATTTGTTGATTAACTCCTTTGGCACTATGTATAGCATTTAATAATTTGTTATTTTTCGATTCAAATGGGAAAGTGGAATGAGCCCATAATGGACCCCAATTATACACACTTTTACTTATGTGTAATAATTGGTGCACATTATATGTCATTGCACGTTTTGTGTACAGTGTTTCTACACCTAGTACAAACTTATTTAACGACTCATCAATCTTGTCTAATTCTTGTATTGATAGCGAAACTTTTAACAGGCCATATAAACTTTCTGCTAATAACAACCAATGCTGCAGAATGTCATTATTTATTACAGTTCCAAGTACAGGTACACTGTAATATAATAACCAATTCTCCCATTCTCTTGCCTTCCACTGAGTCGCTCTTTCAATGATCGTGTTAATCGACATAACTGATTTGGAACTTTCATTGCAAGCAAGAGAGAATTGAGTTGCTCAATGTCATATTTGTTGACTAATTTTAAAATGCACTCATTGTCAGTAATTTGTTTCGCGACTCCGGCTAAATAACAGTGCAAGTAATCTGGTACAAAACCGTCCATTATATCAAAATGTGGTATATTAATTAGAGGCGTAACAGTTTTAACACCTATGATAACAGTTCCGGATGTAACAGCCTGCTGTCCGTTTTGTATCGTACATACATCTCTGTGTATTGGACGATAATGAAGAATTGGAAATCTGACGGCTCCATCGTGCCATTTTCCAGGATGTAAACACCAACTACACGAGTTATAAGCATTGAATTGTACTAAACCTTGCATTGGAGCACGAGCTACTGCATCGACACAAGATATGAGCATGTATAATTTAAGCATTCGTTTCTCTCCATGGATTGTACATTCTATTCCCATTTCGTTCATTATATTCATTTCTGTAACGAAAATATGTAAAAAAGTACTCATATCTGGTTTACTCTTACCAAACCACATTGCACATGTTATAATATTTTTCAACCGAAATTGAGATGGTAATTCATTAATTTGGATTAGTATCGGCCATATAGAATCCTGCGAACTTTCAAATCTTTGTGCACCGTCCGTATTGAATACAGCAGTGACATATCGATTTCTTTCATCCGCAGGTAAGCAGTTTACAAACTTTTTATAATACTGTCCATCATAAACATCTTTAATATCTCCAGTTTCATTCAATCTCTCGCATACGATATAATTATAATAATCTTCATGACTCTGTATAAGATTTGAAATTTCTTTTGCAGGATTAAGAATTACAAACGAGTTAGAAGAAGATAAAGTTGAGACATTAATTGATGAGGAGCACATATTACAATTAATCTCATTACCAATTTCCGTTTTTTTCCCCAAATAATTTGAACAATGTGGACACACTACGTGGAACTGTGCCTTATTTTCATAGTTGAACATTGTATCGATGAGATAACGCGATTCCGGCAATATAGGACTTTCAAATACATTGTTGATCAAACTCATTAAATTACTAATAGCAGTTAAGGGTAGCTTATAAGTATTACTAAATTTTAATACCATTAACATAAGTTCACTACGACTTGCTTTAACCGGAGTTGTAATTTTGTTCAAATTATCTGCGATTGAAATAAAGTC